CATGGTGAGATTAGGATGCGCGCCAGCTCGCTCCTTGCCAACTATCGCCGTCGCTATTCCACGTTCGTGAAGGATTTGAAGCAAAGGGAGCTCGTCTGCTTCGCGCGCCGCCCCAAGGAGTGCGTCGGGGTGTTCTTTGCGTGGAAGAAGGGGCGGCTCTCCATTGGGATGGTGTCGGATTGTCACCGCTCCAAACAGAGTTCGCTGGCCCTCCAGGTGTCGAGCTGCTGTCGACCGAAGGCCATGGCCGCGTCGAGTGCGAGGGTGGCCCCGACGTCGCCTCGCCGCCCATCTTCCTGGGCAAGGCCGACGTCGAGGACTGCTTCCACCGGGTGAGGTTCGGGAACCACCTGCCCAACTACTTCTGTTACCTTGGTGGGCTTGCGAAGGAGTTTGGGATCGTTGGCCGCGACGTCGCCGGGGCCCCCGTGCGCGCGGACGACTGCGTCTGGTCTTGCGCGATGGCGCCCCTCATGGGCTGGACTTGGTCCTTGTGCTTCGCTCTGGTCGCCAACTTGCGAGTGGTCGAGGGCGCGGCCGCGGTTTTTCTTGCCGCGCGGCCACCGACCGAGGGCCCCTTACCGCGTCTACGTCGACAGCGCGGGGCTGCTCTCCGTGGGCCCCGCGCGCGCGGAACGCCCTCGGCGACGCCTTCAACGAGCTTGGGCTCATCATGCGCCACATCTCCGTGGACTGCGGGGCCGCCGAGGCGCTGGGCGCGCGGCTCGATGGCCCTGCTGGAAGGTGCGACTGGCCTTCCGGTGGGCCCTCGCTCCTCGGCGGGCTGCTGGGGGCGAGCTGAGGGTGGCGCGCCGTCTGCGCGTTCATCTGGGAGTGGTGCTGAGCAACGGCCGAGGTCTGGAGCTCTGTCATGTCCGAGCTCGCGGCCTTTCTCGGCCTCATGCCGCTGCTGCGATCTGAGTGGGGGTCGGCCGTGGCTGTCGCAGGTGCTCTCTGTGGGCGCCAGCCCGCGCGGCCGGGGATTTTCTGCGTCCGACTTCGGACTGGCCGAGGCCAGAATGCATGGGAGAGTTCTTGAACGATCACGTCTCCGTCGTCGTGTGGAGCGCCCTCTCGTGCGAGTGCTCTCTCTCTCTCTCTCTCTCTCTCTCTCTCTCTCTCTCTCTCTCTCTCTCTCTTTCTCTGCCGCTGGCTTCGCCTGCTCGCCCGCTTCCGAGTCCTGGGCGATCGGTGGCGGTAAGGACAGGAGCCCCTGCGGTGTTTGAGGTGCTGGCTCCTGGGAGATGCGCGAGACTTCCCTTGGATCCTCGGGGCCCTGCTTAATGGTGATCGGCGGCGTCTTGTCTTGCGCGGTAAATGGGCATTCTGGGGGGACATCCATATCCATGAGGCCCGGGCCCTGGTCAAAGCTGCCGCGGTGCTCCTGGTGGTCTTTGTAGAGTTGTACTAGTGGGGAATACTGTGACGATTATTCTGGGTTTCGAAAGATGTCGGGCCCGCAGCTTTGGGCTACTGGCGCAGATTAGACGCGTCGTGGCCTGCGCTCTGGCGCCCGGCGTTCGGTTTGCCTTTCGGTGGCGCCCCTCTGAGCTCAATGGCAGTGGCGCGGGCGCTTGGATCAACTACGGTTCCAAGAAGGACCTCGCCCGCCTTGTGGCTCAGATGCGGCCTGCGGAACTACCTGAACCCGTGGGCGCACCGGCTCAATGTCACGACCTCTCGATAGGGGAGATCGGGGGGGCCTTTCTTGACGCGCATATCTTTCGCGATTGCGACGAGGAGGAGCCGGGCCCTCGCGACCCCGCAGCCCCCGCCCTCGCGGCCGACAAACGCAAGCCGCGCAAGCCTACTGACACCAGCTCCGATAGCTTCTTCGCCGCCCACGGCAGCGGCGGGCCCGGCGCGGGCTCGGGCGCCGTCGCGCCCGCAGGCGCCGTCTCGTTTGGAGCCGAAGACGACCCGCTCCAGGACGGAGTCGCTCGGGAGGCTCGCCGACCAGGGGCCTGCCTGGGCCGCGACAGCCGTCGCGGCCGCTGCCGCCGCCGAGGGCGCCGTCGTGGACAGCGATGGCATTGCTTCAGACGGCGAGATAGCTACACCCAGGAGCGAGCTGAGTGGGACGAGGCAGCGCGCCCTTCGGGCAGCTCGCCGTTGCCGCAAGCACCTGCAGCTAGCCGAGTCTTTGCCCCCGCAGTCCTCGGTGCTGGAGGAGATGGCGCCTGCTGTCCGTGCTCCGAAGCAATGCCCGTGCGAGCTGCAGCGCATCGTGGACTGCGCCCACTAGAGACGGGCCGCCATCGCCAAGCCCGAGGGGGCCGACGCGGCCCTGGTGGACTACATCAATGATTTGTTCCTTATTGGACAGCAGGCTGTTCGCAGGGAGAAGCTGCTCGCGGCACTCATGGCTCGGGCTCCCGAGTTCTCTCGAGTGGGGTTCAGCAACGTGCCCCGAGCCTGGCGCTGCTTGATGGGGCGCGACGGCGCACCCCGGGACGGTCAAGGAAGCTTGGGCCGCTGTCAGTGTGGCGCGCCATTGCAGTGGAGTTCGCGAGGCGGGACATGCCCGCCATGGGCCTTGCCGCAATGATCGGAGTGACCTGCTGCCCCTGGCCCTCGGAGCTGCCCGCCCATGCGGCTGCGAACCTGGATGCCCAGCTTCGCCCGCGTCGCAGTTCCGCAGCCTCCCTGTGCATCCATCGGAAGGAGTGGAGGAGTAAGACGGGCGACTCGGGCGACTCGCTGCCGATCGACACTCCCTACATGCTCCCTGGATATGCGATTTCCTCCGTGCCTTGCAGGTGCGTGGCTGCCCGCTGTGGTCCTTCGGCTATATGATTTGCTTGACCGAATTCAAGACAGCGGCCAAGGTGCTGGATATGCCGAACCTCGTGCCGCACCAGATGCGACATTCAGGCCCGTCGACCGACCGCCTGAAGCCGTTGCGCAGCCAGGAGGAGTGTCAGAAGCGGAGCCTCTGGAGGAGCTGGGCGAGCCTTGTCAGGCACGAGAAGTCAGCTCGCCTCGGCAACTTTCGGAACGACCTGCCCGCGGCCGCGCAGGTTCACATGCGCCTCTGCGAAGACCGCTTCGCCGAGTTCCTCTGGTCGCCCGGGCTTGCGCCAAGGCCGCCGCGCGTGCCGAGGTGAGCTCGGGCGGCAGCTACTTGGCCGATCTCTTCGCTGGCTGTGGGGAGCTAAGTCGCGCCGTCGCCGGGCTCGGATTCTCCGCGAGGGCCTGGGGCGTTCTCCGCTACCCCCCATCGTGACCCGACCGATGAAAAAAAGTGCGGCGCTTATTGCTGTCTGACATACGGGGCAGAAAGGTATTTGGTGCCATGAATGCTTTGCCTTGTACCTCGCTGGCGGTCGCTAGTGACAGAACATTCCAGTTTCGATTCCGTGCACAGCCCTGGGGAACAGATCTCGCTCACGCGTCGGATAAGGATAGAGCAGCTCTCGACACTCGCAACAACAGGTCTGTGTTCTTCTCAGAACCCTCAGGCACTTCAACAGATGTAAAATTCAGTGTTTTCTGGAAAACCCTTACAATTTTCGCTTATGGTATTTCCCCGAAGTCCTGGCTTCGTGCAGTCAGGCTCGTGCACTTTGGCGAGTCATAGATGTTTGTCAATGGGGTGCCCCGTGGCGGAAAAAGGACGTGGCTTGTCTGTAGGGATGTGGCTGTCGAAAACAGCTCGATGTGGGACCGTGCGTGCTCTGGTAAAACTGGGATGTGCTCTCGCACGCTTCGCCGCCGCAAAGAGTTCTTCGGCCGCAACCGTCAGAACGTACTGTGGACGTCTCTCGCTCAGCCCTGCCCGAGTCGGTTAGCCTCCAGCCTCGCGAGAGGCCTTGTTGCCAAACGCGCCGCCTGTTCATGTTATGCCAGTGGCCCGGGAAGGTCCAATGCCAAATGATCTGCCTTTTTCCTTTCTCGCTCCCTCCGTTCCTGCTGCTTCTGCTGCTCCGCCCCCGCTCCCTTCAATTCCGGAAATTGGGATTGTCAAGGCGTGCCGTTCAGAAGATTTCGTCACGTCCCAGTTGCCTGTTATAATCCAGTCCAGATCGTAGCAGATGTTCTCCGCGTGAAAAAAAACAACAACAACAGTATCATCATGCTACTGCGTGCGCGGGAATGATGTGAAAAAAAAAGGCTTTTCTGGGTGTCGCTCACAGGCTGAGCTCATGGCGCTGCTCCTCCGCATCCGCGTGGGCTAAAGCAACAACGCGCCCCCTCTCGATCAGGTCGTCGTTTTCCCAACCCTGATTCGCTTTGCATTCATTATGCGAAGATTGTCAAGGCGTGGCGTTCAGAAGACTTCGTCACGTCCCAGCTGCGTGTTCTAACCCCCGTCTAGATAGTAGCTGATGTTCTCCGCGTGAAAAACCTTGGTATCACAATGCATGTTTTTTGGTCAGGGGTATCGGGTTGTCATGGTTCTGCGTTGACCGACGGCCGGGTGGGGGAGGGGGTGTATAGTAGGGGGCAGTGATAAACCCCTCCCCTCAGGGGAAGAACGGGGGTTGGAAGAGGGAGCTCCCTAAGCCACTCACGCCCTCCAAGGCTGGCGGGGTTGGGCGCCATGGAGGCGACCAAAAGCTGTCGCGAATTGCTGTGCCATTCTCGAATTGCTGTGTCGCACTCGGTTGGGAAAGCTCTGGGCGTTTGCGCTCCTTCATGCCTGCCGCTCTGCGCCTGACCGGCCACGGACGGCAGTAACGATGCTCGTGCCTTGTTGCCCCATTACAGCTCGGAAAAGTATTTGTGCAAACGCTGGCAACTGCTTGTGCAAGCCAAATCTGAACTCTTTCTAGCTTTCCCCTCCCCCCCGTCCGCGTCGTCCTCGCCGTCGCCGTCGCCGTCGCCGTCGCCGTCGCCGTCGCCGTCGCCGTCGCCGTCGCCGTCGCCGTCGCCGTCGCCGTCGTCGTCGTCGTCGTCGTCGTCGTCGTCGTCGTCGTCGTCCTCGTCGCCGTGGTCGCCGTCGTCGCCGTCGTTGTCGTTCCATCCCCAGGGCGAAGGGGCGCAGTCAGGGAGTGGAGGCCCATGCGGCGGCGAGGGGAGCGCGGCGGCGTCGGCTGTGGTGCCGGGCGCCGGCGCCCTGGATGGGGCGTGGCGCCCCGCGAGGCCCGCCGCCGCCGTCCCAGAAACTCCCGCCTTCTTGTCAGGCGCGGCCTAGCCGACCCCTAGCAAACCATCCCCTTCCGTGACGTCCTTTTCGCCTCCCCTTCCGTGACGTCCCATCAGGCGTGCGTGTGCGGCCGGGGGGAGGCCTGGAGGGCGCGGGGGACGTCACAGAAGCTCGCCACGGATGGGGTCGTTCAGGCCGCGCCCGATCTTGGGAGGAGAGGATCGGCTAATAGCGCCCCAAGACGGCCAGTCAGAGGTGACGGGAGGGACTCATTCCGCCTTCGCCTGGCCGGGGATCCCTCTGTCCAGGTCCACCCGTTCGGGGCTGCTTTGATTTCACCGGCTCAGGAAGGCGTGTTTCGATTTCCCTGGGGCTGCTGGGGCTATAGATGGGGGCCGCTCCACGTTCCCAGGAACCCCCACTCTCTGCTCGTCCCTGTTGGCCCTGTCAAGGGTGCCAGGCAAGAGTTATGTCAAATTCTAGACGTTTCGCGTAACCCCACCAGTCCGTAGCCTTTGGCTTAAGCCGCTCTGGCTCAAGCGGGCCTCAGCGGCTGGCCGGGCCTCCGCCCCTCGGTCCTCGGCCTCCCCGCCCGCGGCAGCGGCGCGCCGCCGCCTGCTGCGCCGCCGCGGCCGGCCCGGCTGGCCTGCAGCCGCCGCGGCCCGGCGTGGCCCGCGGCGGCGGCACCGCCGTGGCCCGGCGTGGCCCGCGGCCGGCGTGGCCCCTGTCGGCCTCGGCGCGGCCGGCGGCGCCGCCGCCGCGGCCGCCGCCGCCGCCGCGGCCGCTGCGGCCGTGGCGGCGGCTGGCCGCGGCGAGGCCGCCGCGGCCGCCGGCGCTGTGGCGCGCGCTGCTGCGCTTGGGCCTGCCGCGGCGGCCGCGGCCGCCGCGGGTGCGGCGGCCGCCGCGGTGGCCGCCGCGGCCGCGGGTGCCGCCTCGTCCGCCAGGCGCCCGCCGCGGCCGCTGCTGCCGCCGCTGCCGCCGCGGCCGCCTCTGGAGGGCCGCTGGCGGCGGCCGCTGATCGTGAAGCTGGCGCCCAACATCATCACCCACTTCATCCTGAACAGCTGGTGCGAGAAGGGCAGGCCTGGGCAGTGACAGCTGGCCGTGGCGCTGACGGGCTAGACCCTGGTCGTGAAGCTGGAGCCCACCATCTTCACCAACGGCACTGTGAAGAGCGCTTGCGAAAAGAGCAAGCGCCAGCTGTGGCAGCAGGTTGTGGCGCTGCTGGGAGAGATTGTGGCCGTGAAGCTGGAGCCCAACATCAACACGTTCGTCACTGTGAACGGCGCGTGCGAAAAGAGCAGTCGTCGGCAGTGGTTGCAGACTGTGGCACTGCTGAGCGTGATGGCGAACGTGCAGCTGGAGCCTAACATCATCACCTACTACATCCTCAGGCCTTCAGGAGGCGCCGTCACCTCGACGACGACGCCGACGACGACGACCACGACCACCACGACGCCGACGCCGCCGACGACGACCTCCACGGACGCCGTCGCCTCGACGACGACGACGACGACGACGACGACCGCGACCACGAGCACGACCACGACGACGAGATGAAGCGGTCCCTGAACGCAGAGCTGGCCAACGGCCGCCTGGCCATGATGGCCATCATCGGGATGTTCCTCCAGGACGGCCTCATGGGCTCCGCCTGGGGCGACTGGGCGACCTACACGGATTCGCCGCCGCGCGCCTTCGAGAGCGAGTGGGACCTGCAGGCGCCCGTCGGCTACTGGGACCCGCTCGGCCTTGCGAAGGACGTCGGCGCGGATGTCCTCCACAGGAGAAGGGGCACCGAGGTCAAGCACGGCCGCTTCGCCATTTGGGCCACCATAGGGTGCATCGTACAGGGTGTCTTCCTGTGGCCGGGAGGTGTCGTCCTCGAGGAGCCTGCCCTCGCGAGTCTTCCGAAAGGCCCGAGCGCTCCGGGCAAGGTGTCTGGTTCCGACTGGGGACAAATGTTCCTGTTCTACGGTTCCCTCGAGCTCCTCGCGGCCAGGCAGGAATCTACGGACCCTCCGGGCAAGCTCAGCAGAATCGAGGCGGGTTTCGGAAAGTCGTACTTCGGGGCCCTTGACGGGTTCAAGGGGGGCGGCATCGAGGACCCTGAGAAGAACAAGTGGTCCCTGAGCGCGGAGCTGGCCGAAGGCCGCCTGACCAGGACGGCCATCATCGGGATGTTCTTCCAGGACAACCGCGCGGGCTCCGCCTGGGGCGACGGGGTGACCTACACGGACTCTCCGTTGCGCGCCCTCGAGAGCGAGCTGTGCGTGCAGGCGCCCGTCGGATACTGGGACCCGTTCGACCTCGCCGAGGTCCACTTTCACAACCACGTTGACGACGACCACGACCACGACGGCTACGAAGACGACCGCGACCACGACCCAGATGACTCGACCTGCCCCATGCAAGCACACATCGCCGACCCCTCCCTCTCCTCCTTCAATTTACCAGATCTTGCGGCTATCGGCTGCGCCTCCTCCTCTCCTCCTCCTCCTCCTACTGCGCAGGGCACTCTCACAGCAGGGCATGGGCACAACCCCATCCTGGCACTGGCCTCCCAATAGTGAGCAGTTCCCCCCGCGCCGTGCCAGAGAATCCTGCCACGCACAACGACACATCGGAACGTAGCGGCAGCAGCAGCGGCAGCGTGCCACTCCCCGTTTCGTCGACAGACGAAGACGTCCCAGAGGGGAATCGAGAGGCGGTTGAGGCTGAGGGCACGATGCCGCCCCCCGCATCGTGGACAGACGACGATGTCCCAGTGGGGAATCGAGAGGAGGTAGCCCACTGACCAGTGTGTAGCGGTGCCCAGGCAAATGGCCGACGACGCCGACGTCGACGACGTAGGCGCCAACAACGACGACGCCGACCCGCTGCAGCACCACAGCTGCCGCAGCAGCTGCTGCAGCAGCAGCAGCGACAGCTTGCCTCCCCCCGTTTCGTCGACAGAAGACAGCGTCCCAGAGGGGAATCGAGGTGCGGTTGAGGCAGAGGCCACGATACCAACCCCCACATCGTGGTCAGACGATGGCGTCCCAGTGGGGAATCGAGAGGAGGTAGCCTGCAGTGACCAGTGCACAGCTCGCACGAACGTCCCCCCTTCAGCTGCACCAGCAGGCCAGAGGAGAGGAACGGGAAGTCACTGCGGAGACGGCGGAGGCTGCGGAAGCCGCGGAGTACCCCCCTCTGCGCCAGCAGCCCTCCGGGGTGCAGTTTTCAGGGTGCGGCTCATACGAGCGACCCTCGAGAGGAGGCAACATGCAGTGACCAGTGCACGGCTCATTCTAACCACTCCCCCCTCCAGCAGGACCAGCAGACCAGAGGAAAGGAGTGGGAAGTCACGTCGAAGTCGGCGGAGGCTGCGGAAGCCGCGGGACACCCCCCTCAGGGCAACCATTCCGTCAGCAATCCCCCGGGAGTGTCACGCACTCAGCAGGGAGACCACGGAGCTGCCACCCAGACGCAGGACAACGAAGCCATACGCTGGCTCGTTGAGAGAAACCCCCTCGCGCTGATTCGCCCCCCGTCCCCTGTCAGTGAGCCTCTTTATGGGCGGCGAACCTCCGACGCCCTCGACGGGCGTCCAGGGCGCCGCCAGAGAGGGAGGCAACATTTTTCCCTTGCCAGTGGTGACAGAAGGCCCTCCGCAAGCCTACGAGGAAAGAGCCGCCCAAGACGACTCGACCTGCCCCGCGCGAGGATGCATCGCCGACTCTCTCCTCCCTCAATTTACCAGATCTTGCGTCTATCGGCTGCGCCTCTTCCTCTCCTCCTCCTCCTACTGCGCAGGGCGCTCTCGCAGCGGGACATGGGCGCAACCCACATCTTGGCACTGGCGAAGCCGAGGCCGACGCCGAAGCCGACGACGACGCCGACGCCGACGCCGACGCCGACGACGCCGACGTCGACGACGTTGACGCCGACAACGACGCGGTTGTGCCATGTTCCCCCCGCACCGTGCAAGGAGAGCATCCCCGGGCTGAGGCTGAGGCAGACGACTGGGTCCACTATACGCGGACGCTCAGCACTGCGCAGGTCACTCTTGCTGCAGGACACGGGCGCAACTCCCATCCTGGCACAGGCCTCCCAATTGTGAGCAATTCCCCCCGCGCCGCGCCAGCCTGGCGGCCAACCTTGGGGCCTGCATTTCCCCACAAAGTCCTGCCAGGCGTGCAGCTGGAGCTGTCGCGAGCGGATCGCGAGCCCCCCAGCCAGTGCAGCGAGGCCCTCGCGGTGGAAACTTGCGGCCAGGACGCGCGGCCGCACCGTAGGCCCGACCCGCGGCAATGGCCAGAGCCCAAAGACCCCCACACGGGGCAGCAGCTGTGCAAAACAGGAATCAACAACATCCAGTGGGGCCTCCCCGGGGAGACGCCCGGCGAAGCGATGCGACGACTCCAAGTCACACTAGGATCGATGTTCACTGGCACCCGGCACGCTTTCGCCAAGCGGCAGTCTGCGCCCGGCAGCAAGGGCGCGCTCGACCCGCTGCGGCACGACCCGCAGACCTGCCACCTCTTCCTGGAGTCTTTCCGCAGCCACAAGTGCGACGTACGGGTCCTCAGCGACGCGCTGGGCCTCAACGTCGACTGGGCCCGGCAGCGGCAGCTGCACCTGGGTCGGTGGCGCCCGGCCCACATGGCACTGTGAGCCACGCTCACAGTTGGGGGACCACGGGACAGCCATCCAGACACAGGACAACGCAGCCATTCGCCGGCCCTTACTCAGGCCCATACGGGAGAACAGCCACTGGTGACGCTGCTGTCCTGCACAAGTGGCGCATCCTTTGGCAGGCTCCTCCTTCCCACGGCGGGCCCGGCCCATTGCTGTGAAGGTTGTTCCCCCAGCTCCTGCGACGGAGTGCATCCGACGACTGGTGGCCTTGCTCTGGCGGCGTTTCCCCCCCACCAGGCAGGCGCCTTCCCTCTGACTGCATTCCGACTACGCCATGTTGGGTCCTCGACTGCCTGTGTCGCCACATGGCTCTCCTCCTCCTCCTCCTCTGTATTACTGATTTGCGGCTATCGGCTGCGCCCCCCCCTCTTCTTTCACGACGACTGCAGTGGCGGGCCCTTCGACCACCACCTGCGGGCGGGCCCAGGCATGGCACACTCCTGCACAAGTGGTTCATCCTTTGGCAGGCTCTGCCTTCCCACGACGGGCCCGTCCCGCTGCGCGACGCCGACGACCTTCCCCCCTGACTGGCCCCGGGCAACGCTCTGTTGGGTCCTCGGCAGTCTGCGTCGCCTGGCCCACCTGTGCCTCTCCTTCCAGTATTTTCCTGGTTTGCGGCTATCAGCTGCGCCCCCCCCCCCCCCCTCCTCCACGCACGCTGTGGTGCTGATCGCGCCTGTCGGCTTCCCCCCAACAGTGCCGCGTCTTCGCGCCTGCCCCGTGGTGGTCGCTCCTTCCACGCGGCAGGGTGTGCCCGATGGGGCGCTGGCAGGTGGGCCGTGGAGGCTGGCTTCCTGTGCAAGTGGTGCATCCTTTGGCAGGGCCGTGCTTCCTCTTGGCAGGCGTTCTCCGGCTCCCGGCTCTGCCGGCGACATCGGCCCCTTCCTCTGGTAGGATTTGTCGCTCGCGGTCGCCAGTGACGCCCTGCCCTTCTGCGGTGTTCAGGCGGTGCGCACCTGCCCGCAGCCCCCCCCAGGCGGGGCCTCTGATAGCTGGTGGGTAGTGCCGCCGTGGTCCCACGCGACGCCCCCCCCGTCCACGGACGCATGCACTCGGGACTCACGACAAACTACCGGCGCCTGGTTCAGTGACGACCTGTCTTCGAGCACATGAGGTGCTCTGTGAGTGAGGCTCCTTTTGCCCCCCTGTCCCTCTCCCGCCCCTCTTTCCCCCCCTGTCGCCCTGCCCTTCGCCGTCGGGTCTGTCGGGTGCTGGCGCCGCTGTGCGGCGCCCCGCTGACCGTCGTCGGCTGCCGTTTTGGTTCGGTTTAATGAGTTTCATGTTGTTCCTCGCATGTGCATTCCGGCGTTGGCTTTTGGCCCGCTGGCAATTATCTTGCTTGTTGCCCCAGGCTTGTTTCGACCCGCTCTCTGGAATCGTCCCTGGAGCCGCATATCAAAAAAAGTAACCCCACCACTTGGGCCTTTCCCGTGGTGCACGGGACGGTGGACCTTGGAGTTTGCGCCGCCCTCGAGTGGTTTAGCCTTCGCAGCCGCGGCCGCTCCCCCGGGCCCCTCCCGCCTTCCAGGCTGGTTCGCGACGTTCCTCGGCAGCGCAGCCTGGCTCGCACACGCCGTTGGCGCGACCTGGGCTTGGCGCCCCACTGGCGACTCGCCCATCGCTTACTACCTTGGACACCCGACGGGCATGTTGGACACGCATTCATCGCCACGCTCGTCCTCGTGCTTCGCGCGGGCCCTGCTTCACGGCACATTCCTAATTCCCCAGCATTTTGCTGGGCTGCAAGTGCCTGAGCTTACCTGGGCGCCCTCAGCTTGCCAGCTCCCCCGCGCAGCCCGCCGCTGCTTGGTGAGTGGGCCGGCCGGCCTGCGGCGCGTTTAGTAGCTAATTCGGCCGCTTCCGTGTCCCGGAGCGCTTCTGACTCCGCTTGCGCCTTCGCTGGTGGACGCGACCGAAAAAGTAACCCCACCAGCCCATCCCAAAACGATGCCCAGAGGAAGTGTCTCGATCAGAGAAGTGGGCAGCAGACAGAGGAAGGGTCCCCCAGTGGAGGCCTCTTGGAGCGTCTTGGGGGCCTCTTGGCGGTCCCGGACGCCTCTTAGAGCGTCTTGGGTGCCTCGGAGAGCTTCTTGGGGCCTCTTGGGGGTCTCTTGGGGGCGTTTTGGAGGCCTCTGGTGCGCCTGTTGGGGCCTCCTGGGGCCTCCTGGGCGCCTGTTGGGGCCCTCTTGAAGCGTTCTTGGGAGCCTTGGGAGCGCTCTTGGAACCCTCTTGGGCCATCTTGGAACCATCTTGCAGCCTCGGATGGCCATGGGAAGCGAAAAGGCGGGAAAGCCCGACGCGTGTATTTTCCATCGGTTTTGGAAGGATGTTGGCCTCTTCGGGGCCTCCTGGGGGAGCTCTTTGGCCACTCGGAGCCGTCTTGGAGCGGTCTTGGGTTCTCTTGGGGCATCGTCGGAACCATCTTGAGGCATCTTGGGATATCTTGAACCATCTTGGAGGTCATCCTGGGCTGTCCCAGGCGCTCTTGGAGTCATCTGAAGCAGTGCGCCCCCCCAGGGGGCCAATATGTGGCCAAAACCTATGTCAAATCAATGATTTTGGCATTCTCGCCGAGGCCTCTTGGAGCGTCCTGGGTGCCTCTGGGGGGCCTCTTGGGGCCTGTTGGGGGTCTCTTGGGAGCCTCTTGGGGGCATCCTGGGGGCCTCTTGGGGGGCTCTTGGGGCCACATGGGGCCATATTGGGGCCATCTTGGGGCCTCATGGGGCCTCTCCTGGGCGCGTATTGGGGCCATCTTGGAGGAGATCGATCAAAGCAGGGGGGGTCCCTCAATTAGGACCTCCCCCTCGGAGAGGCCAAAGTGAGGCCCAACCCATAGTAAAACCAATGATTTTGGTTTCCTCGCCGAGGCCATCTTGGACGCTCCAACCCCTCGCGAACCCCCCTATCCAGGTCCAGGGGAGGTGGTTGGGGGAGGGGTCAAGACTCCCTCCCCGCCCGCAAGCCGTCTCGCTCACTCCCACCTGCCCTCCCGACACATACGTAGCACCCGAGCCTGGCCCGAGCCGCAGCATATGCAGCAGTCGTCTTTGGATGGGCAGCTACTGGGGGCGAATCCGCCGCCGCCGCCGCCTCCGCCGCCGCAGTTGCCGCCCGCTGCCCCCGCGCCGCCGCTACCGCCGCCGCTGTCCGCCGCCGCCGCCGCCACCGCGCCGCCCGCCGCCGCCGCGCCGCCGCCGCCCCCGCTGCCGAATTGCCGCCGCCGCAGCCGCCGCGCCGCCGCCGCCGCGCCGCCGCCGCCGCCGCCCCCCCCGCCGCCGCCGCCACTGCCGCCGCCACCGCCGCAGCCGCCGCAGCCGCTGCCCCCGCCGCAGCCGCCGCAGCCGCCGCCGCCAAGTGTACTCTGTATTGTTTTTTGACAAGGATGGTGGGGGGAGGCCGCATCGGGTTCGCTGCGCATGCTCCGAATTTGGAGGCAGAGTGTGTGTGTTTGTATTGTTTTTACAAGGGATGGTGGTGGGGGGGGTGCCCTCATGAACTCGGGTTGGCTCCCAGTCGCCTGGGAGAGGGGGTGTACATTAATAGGGAGCAGTGCTAAACCCCTCCCCGAAGGGGAAGAAAGGGGTGGAAGAGGAAACACCCTAAACCACCTACGCCCAGGGGGCTGGTGGGATCCCTCCCGTCTGATTTGCGCAGGGGATCTGAGTCGAATGCATCCCCCCCCGCATTTCAATCTGGCAACACGCTGTGCGCCACGACAGAGCGAAATCCAGCACCTCACTGCCCCCCCTGTATCTGCTTGTCTTCCCTCCGTCCACCTCCCTCGTATCATCCGTCGTCGTCGCCGTCGCCGCCGTCGTCGTCGTCGTCGTTGTCGTCTTCGCCGTCGCCGCCGCCGTCGTCGTCGTCACCGTCGTCGTCGTCGTCGTCACCGTCGTCGTCGTCGTCGTCGTTGTCGTCGTCGTCGTCGTCGTTGTCGTCGGTCAGTCGTCGTCGTCGTCGTTGCCGACGTCGTCGGGGTCGCCGTCATCGCCCTTCTCCTGGTTGGTGAGCGGGGCATGCATGGAGAAGTTGTCGATGCAAATCCGTGCTCCCGCATTTGGCCGTCGAGCACCTGCACGCCGCTCCTTTGTGCTCGATGGCTCACTGCTCGATCGTGGCGAGGCCCTCACCCCCCTGCAGAGTTACTGCGCCGGCCTCTCTTCGGATGGATCTGCGTGCCTTAGGCTACGTCTGCTCCTCGTCGGCCTTGTCCTCGTCTCTCCTTGGCGACGACCCTGCCGTGGCCCGAGGGGCATCACTCCCAGCCCTACAGAGAGCTTTCGTCTTTGCCACGGTCCGTACACGGTGTATGATGGGCCGCACGGTGCGTGAAACACGCCACCTCGGAAGCACAGGTGTTCGATCGTGGGAGGGTTAGCTCAGGGCCGAGTGTCATGCTCGGCAGGCAGCTGGTCGCCACACACAGACCGCACGGTGGCAGTGCAGAGTCTTCTTCTTCTTCTTCTTCTTCTTCTTCTTCGTCTTCTTCGTCCCCCCCTCCGCGAGGCACGGGGCCTGGTCGCGACCGCACCAGGCGGGTCACGGACTCACCCAGCTCACCCTCTGCGCGGGCAGCGGGACCCTGTACTACGGGCCCGAAGGCGAGGCACCCGACCTCCGGCACCGTGCCCATCCCCCCCGCGGGAGCCCTTTAGACGGGGGTCGATGCCAACCGGGGGTCCGCCCGAGCGCCGGCTCTTGCAGGAGCCTGCAGAGCCAGGGGTGCAGTGACCCGGGCTTGCGTGCAGGATCCTGCAGGATCTGGGCTTGGATTGACCCGGGTTTGGATTGACCTGGGTTTGGATTGACCCGGGCGTGCAAAGCCCGACTGGCCCGGGTTTGGATTGACCTGGGCCAGCGCGTCCCCGACACCCCCAGCCCCGGCAACTGTGACGATCCTATGAGGGGGGGGGGCCTCGACCACCCCCGCCGTATGTTGATGCTTGCTCGCGTACTACGGCGATCGCAGCGCACCCCCGCCCCGACGTGACCCTTACCCGGCCGCTCCCCTGTGTCACGACCGTTGCCCGAACTGAGTCAAAACAATCGCGTTGAGAGTGAGAAGAGGATACCCGCCATGAAGGAAACATGTTCTGAGGTCTTTCGCCGTTTCTGGCTTCCCGGGGCCCTCCTTGGACCCTGCGACCTGTCAGAAGACGGCTCTCAATGAATTGCTGGGTCTGTGGGACGGCGCCAGGTCCCAGGACCCGTTTCCCTCAGAACCCGTTCCCTTCATGCCTAGAACAGATACCAGTACTGCTATCTTTTCCTCGTCGCCACGGTGGGATTCGCTTCGAAAGTCTGGTCAGAACGCACCTCGAGAGGGGTCCGAGGAGTGGCAGTAAGGGGTACCTTGTGATTGGTCTAGGGAGGGCGGTGGCTCGGGGATCAGGTCAGAAGCCTCTGTGTCTGGAAGACGCGCTGGCAGAAGCAGGGGGGTCACTGTTCGGTCCATTTTGCACCGTCACGAGAGGGGGGAGCTCAGGGGTCAGGTCAGAAGCCGCTGCACTTGTAAAGACGTGTTGGCAGACGCCGAGGGGTCACCATTGGACACATGCCTGGTGGAGTGCCTGTCCGTTGGTGTGCAAGCCCTCCAGACTGCGAGTGCGAAGCAGAAGAGCGGAATGCATTACGACTGAGAAAGGGGGAGTTTAGTGATGCAGCGCATTGCGCCGAAGAGCAGGGCAGGGTAAGGCAGAGCAGGCTGTTCCCATTCCGCAGGCAGAGCACTTGCAACTTGCAACTTGCAATCGCACTTGCAATTGCAATTGTAATTGCAATGCGCTGAACTTCACTGCAGCACGAATCGTATAATATCCAGCTGTCTGCTGCATGTCCCGCCTCCGAGCCAGCCCAGCATTCTGGGTGGCGACGATTCGAGGGGGCACGGGAGGCCGTCACGTGTGACACCTCATGTCCCCAGGGTTGGGAGACCCGTGATGTTGTTGCTGTTGTTGATGATGATGATGATGATGATGATGATGATGACCATGACGACGACGATGACGATGACGATGACGATGGCGACGAGCAGGATGATGACGATGCCCATGATGATGATGTCAATGTTGATGTTGTCGTTGATGCTGCTGATGATGATGACGATGATGCGGCTGATGATGCTGATGATGTGGTGGTGGTGATGTTGATGATTATGATGATGATGGTAGTGATGATGCTGATGATGGTGATGATGGTGGTTGTGGTAGTGGTGATGAAGATGAGGACGATGATGAGGATGATGATGAGTAGGAGGCGATGACGGCGATGATGACGATGCGGTTGATGTTGTTGATGGTGATTATAATGCTGCTGCTGATGAAGATGGTGATGACGCTGATGATGACGACGCTGATGACGATGCTGATGATGACGATGATTATGCTGCTACTGATGATGATGAGGAGGAGGATGAGGATGATAATGATGATGCTATGATGATGAAGATGATGATAGGATGATGATGCTGACGATGATGGTGATGCTGGTGCTGATGATATTGTTATTGATGATGCCGATGATGATGATGCTGCTGATGCTGATGATGATGCTGATGATGCTGGTGATGATTCTGATGCTGATGCTGATGCTGATGATGATGATGAGGAGGAGGAGGAGGAGGAGGATGATGATGCTGATGCTGATGCTGATGCTGATGCTGATGATGATGATGATGATGATGATGATGATGATGATGATGATGATGATGCTGATGATGATGATGATGATGATGATGATGATGTGAACGATAAGGCAGATGAGGAGGAGGGTGAGGAGAAGGAGGATATGGAGGAGCAGTTTGAATAATCAGGAAAGATGAGGAAGGGAAGGCGGAGGAGAAGGCGGAGGAGAAGGAACAGGAGGAAAAGGAGGAGGAGGAAGGCTTTCATATGTGACACGAGTCGTCTTCACTAGTTGAGAAGCCGCATGTAACTCGTTTTGCCGTCCCGTGGCTGTCTTGGCCTCCTGTGGGGCAGTCGTGGGGCCCCCTGGGGGCCCTCTTGGGCCGTTTTCGCGCCCTCTTGGGCCCTTCTTGAAGCCCCCTTGGGGCCCTCTTGGGCAGTTTTGGGCGCCTTATGGGCCGTCTTGGAGCCTTGTGCCGTCTTGGAGGCGTCTTGGCTTCGGGAGCGCCGCATTTTACGTGGAATTGTGGCCTCGGCAGTGCGATTTGTTGTATGTTGCAAGGGCTTCGAGCTTCGCGAGAGGGGGCTGGGAAGTGCGACTAGAGGGGGGGTTCCTTAGAATATTGCGTGCACCTTGCAGACAGCACTTGGCATTCTAGCACGCCTCAACGTACCAGGAGGCACGGTGGCGGATCAACATGTCTGTCTGTCTGTACGTCTGTATGTCTGTCTGTCTGTCTGTCTGTCTGTCTGTCTGTCTGTCTGTATGTATAGATGTATGTATGTATGTCTGTCTGCCTGTGTGTCTGTCTGCCTGTCTATGTGTCTATATGTCTATCTGTCTGTCTGTCTGTCTGTCTGTCTGTATGTATGTATGTATGTACATATGTATGTATGTGTGTGTATGTATGTATGTATGTATGTATGTATGTGTATATGTGTATATACGTATATGTGTACATCTATATGTATGCACCCACACATGTACAACCATCCGCTTGTTTTTGGCCCAAGTGCGTTTCCCGATTAGCGCCGCGCTAAGATGATGAAGACGTTGAGATCGAATTACTCAGCCCATCCACCCTCCCTCCCCTCCCTTGCTCCATCCTTCTATTGTTCCTCCCGCTCTCCTGCGTTGGAAAAAGCACTCGAACTCGACGTGCAGTGACCCCGTTTTTCTTCTCTTCTTCACAGGCTGCCGTAGAGGCGTTGTCATAGTCGAGCGGAGTGCAGTCGCCGCGGACGAGGCGGTGCCATCGATTGGAGTATTCCCCCTCCTCCCCTCGCGCGCGTTTCAACGCGCGGGAAGGAGACGGAGGGGGGATGAGGATCGGAGGGATGGATGTGGAGGGTGGAGGCGGGGGAGTCGTAGTAGGAGGAGGACGACCTCTCTCTGCCCCTCTTCCTCCCCCTCAACCTTCTTCTTCGTTCCTCCCCTCGGCCAGGCCTCAGGAGGCACCCCACGGGGGCAGAGGAGGGTCGCAGAGCCTCCCAAAGCGCCCAGCCTCGAGATCCTGGCGTCTTTTTTTTTTCCGAGCTGGGCGTTTTCGCCTAGTTCTGGGCCCCAGGACCCTCACAGATCGATCTGGCTCGAAAACTGGTGCAGAGAGAGGGGTCCTTAGATTCCAGCCTTGATATCTCATGATGTTGCAACTCTTTCGCTACCTCGGATCTCAGGGAGCGCCCGGATTGCTTCGAGCCGCTGGCCGCTGGAGCTCTCGACGCCCTCCCGCGCCTGGCTCCTCATCCCCACGTGTGGCCGCTTCCCGACGGCCCCGCGAGGCGCAGCTGGCCTTCGGGCGTCGAGGATGGCGAGAAGCCCCCGGCGCTTCTCGGTCTCCGGGCCGCTAGAGAGGCTGTGGAGGCCTTCAGGGGCCTCTGGGGGCCTCTGGAGGCTCCCCCCGCAGAGGCCCCTGCCAGGTCCCCGGAGGTTCCCGCGGAGGTTGCCGCGGAGGCCCCCGCAGAGGCATCTGTCTGGGCCGGAGTGGTGGGGGGACCGCAGTGGGTGCAACAGTACCTGCAGTGTTCTAATCATTCAGCTTGCGATCTGGACGCCGTAGTTGCGCGCGGATGCAGTTGTGCATTCCTGCAAAAACAGCAGTTTAAGCAGCCCCTTGCAGTAGTTCGTGCCCCCAGCAATAGTTCGCGCAATAGTTGGCGCAAGCGAATCATATTGCACCTCCCCCGCCCCCCCCCCATTGGCGATGCCCCCCCGCTCCAGTCTCAAAGCTTGGAGGTCCCCGCGGAGGCCTCTGGTTGCCCATGGCGTGGCCAGAAGGCCGCAGCCAGGTCCCCCATGCGGCGGTTTTTCGCCCGATACGGAGGGCTCTGCCCGGCGAGGTCGATGCACGTGTGACCGCGTGCGCTCGTGAAACGAGCACGGCGCAGATCCAAATTCGTTTCCTTCGCCTTTCAAACTGACGAGTAGGAGGTTTGTCGTGTGTTTGTGCTTTGCCCTCTTGGTGTCCTTCCCCAGAAAATCTGCACTGTCCCCCGTGCGGCGTCCAATTTCTGGGCATCGCTTGTCCCGGCAGGAGAGACCGGCGTCGTCAGCCTGATTCGGGAGAGCGGCGGCCGCTGGAGCACGAGCGTGTCGCTGGCTTCGGGAGCCGTGAGGTCATGGGTTCCCCGCCTTCTCTTCATCGAGCCCCCTCCCCTGTCCCCCTCCTCCTCCTCCTCCTCCTCCTCCTCCTCCTCCTCCTCCTCCTCCTCCTCCTCCTCCTCCTCCAGGAGCTGTCTGGGCCCAGAACCCGAACGAGCTCCCACCGCGCCTTTGGGTATCACGACGGAGGATGCCCACGGCGCGAGAGGACGGCACGCGAAGGACAGGGCCGCTTCGGGACAGCAGTTGCGTAATTGCCGAATCACACACTGTCTCCACACTACACCCGTTGATTCCGCAAGGCGACTCATCTTTCACAATGTCCACTTGGCGGATTTTTCTCGACTGAAGGAGACTACCGACGCAGACGAAAAACGCAGCCATCGTGGTGTGTTTTGGCACCGGCAAACTGACAGAGAGCGACGACGCGACCGCCCCGCAGTGTCATTTACCGAAGCACAACTGTTGTGCAAGTGGTATGGAAGAAATCAAGACCTACTAACAAGTTGTGCGAAATGTCGATCATGTATGGCAATCGTATGTCTGGCATGTTGTAGCAAGTTTCCCTGCCGCCACCAGCTTGGGCATCACAGCTCGCACGGGTACGGCGCGTTTTGCCACGCATGGACTATTACTGGCGACTTTTCCCATTTACATTCTGCCTAAGGGCATGGCCGCGCACACACTGCGGCAAGTGACCAAGAAAATCTCCCGTTGGATATCGGAAGACGTGGACAAACTTGGACACGCTTGTATTCCACTGGTGGTTGGAGACTGGAGCTGTGGCTTTGGTTTACAAGCGAACAAGAGTGGCAACATTTTCGTCACGCACGATCGTGAAGAAATAAAGACAGCTGAGACAACACTGGGCTTTCAGGTATCAAAGATTGCCATATAATTCTTGCAGGACAACTACTTCATGATGTACGACACGTATAGGAAGACGGCACCCACCTACTTCCAGGGCCAGCGTAGCAGCAACATTGACTACGTAGCGGGGCCAGCCAACATGCGAGAAAGGATGCACAGACTCAATGCATTGCTGGGGCTGGGCAGGAGATTGCAGAGATACGTGAGCACACATGTACATGACCATGTATCAGTCCTTGTCGAGTTTGGTATACGCTCGCAGAAGGCATTCATTGGGAAGTATACCCCTCCTGCCAACTCTGACGCATTGATGGCAGCATGCAGCTCAGGTGTTGGTCGGGCCAAATGTCTCAAAGCACTGGAGCCAGAGACGACGAGCATGCCCGGGCACGAGTGGACAGAGACCTGGGACATGTGCAGAAAGCGTGGAGCAAAGTCTCTGAGAGCATTCGAACAAGAAAACAATCACCGCCAAGAACGAGTGCATCGTCGACTACGTGGAGCAAAGACAAAGTAGAGTTGTAATACTCGAGCTAAGAGGACGGCTGCGAAGACAGCTTCACGCGACTTTGAAAAAAAGAGCTTCCGAGGCGACGGATCCACCATATTTGACGAGACTGAGGCTGAATTAAAGAGGTTATCCAGGATATAATTGGTAGCGCGCAGATTTTCAAAGCACGAGCATATCGAGAAGCTACGCGAAGAAATGCTTCATCCTTGGAAGCGCGGACGACACGCAGAGGTACACGTTCTGAAAGTCACGCTCGTAGGGCGAGGACGTGGACCAACGAAACGTTGTTTGTTTTCGCCGGCACAAGGAATGACACTGCAGGATTGGAAGGGTGGACTTGGCCAAGCACCCGAACATGGGGAGGCACGCGTTGCAGACGACTGGACTGGGGTGCGCGGGTAGACGAAACATGTGTTTTACCACCCTTACACGATGCATCGGAGTTGGGCGATGTGACTCGGCGAGGTCGAAGAGGGCAGATCACCTTCCTCCAGCGCGCCCAACATTGCAGCTGGGTCTGCGCGGGGCGCGTGGGCAGCGGCGCTGTGCATGGGCGCTGACAGGGCGCGGTTTACGAATCAGCATTTCAAGCGATTTGCGCCCGTGGCGTTATCCAGGCGATGCAATGATCTGTTGGCGCTCATCCGTTTAAGGGGCTCGCCCCCGCTCGCGGCCGTCAGATCGCGGGCTTGCGCTGCGCCCGGGGATGGCTTCAAGCAGGGGGTCAAGGGCAAGAGAGTGCTCCATTGGTTTGGCTCGTCTGGAATGCCGTACTTCGGGCGCTTCCATGGGGCTTCCAGGAGGCCGAGTGCACCGGATTCCGCGCGCGGGGGGCTACGAGGACGGCGGCGACAGGGGGGCGTATCAAGTAGAGCAGCGGCGCGTTGGAGACGCTGCACATCACACATGAGCCACATCATATCCGACTACGACGGCGCGAACGTATTTGCTTGCACATCGCGAAACGAAGTACACTCACATCATCACGCATGCTGCGGAGTCGAGAATGCGCGCCTCGTGATACAGGCAGTAGACCAGACCACGATCCGCATCAGTGCGATGCACGGCGAGGCTGCCTTCTTGCTGCATCAAGGCACGACCGTGGGCCACTCGCTGGCGGCCGGCGATCTCATCTACTCCCCGTCAGTCACATAATTGAGCGAGCAAGTGGGTTGCTCAGATTATGCGCGCGCGTTGCTCAGGGGAGCGTGCCCGATCCGCAAAGAGACGGCGGGCATGGGGATGGGCCTGTTTGTAGACGACGCATCGCGAGTGCACGTTTACGCATGCGCACCTCGAGCCACTTGCGCAGCGCAGCAATTGAATCGCGCCGCAGGCGCGCTTCAGCAGCGCATCGACAAGAACGGGCGCCACCTGAACGCTGGCAAGACGAATCGCAGGATCGCGCTTGCAGGCGCGGTCTCCTGCGAGGGGGCACGGGAAAGAGGGCGCCGGGGGAGGGTCAAGGGGAAAATGCGTCGGAAAGTGCGGGCCCCGGGCCCAACCATCAGCTTCGACGGCGTACTCCGCGCGGAACTCAAGAACCGCGTCAAAGGAGCACGCGTGGCATGGCGTTCAATGGGCCGGGCATGGCACATGCGCCTCCCGTGCAACTTGCACCGCGTGTTTTTCTTCTGCGTTGTGCACCGCAGCGATCGCTGGCCTCGCTGCGTGTATGCTGCCGCAGGAATTCACAGACCAGCTTGGCTCGGCGCTGGCTCAGCTCCTCAAGTGTCTCATGAGCGGCTTCGCGGCAAGAGAATATGCCGACGAACGTGGTCACTTCCCAACAGTGAGGTATTCGAATTTTAAAACATCAGCCGCGCTGCCGCGGAGCTGGGGACCAAGCGGCTTGGCTGGCGGCAGCGCATCTCGAGCGAACCCGAGCATCGCCGCCAATTTCTCGCGGCCATGTCCGGGGCAACAGAGCTCGACGCGCAGTTGGGCAAGGGTAGACTCAACGCAGCGGGCGCGCTGACAGAGCGCAGCGCGCCGCGGGCAAGACAGCGCCTGGAGGACATGCAGTGCGCGGCGAACTTCGGGGGCTCCTTCGCAGGGGCATGGGCTGACAAGCGAAACATGTCGCAGCCGTTCCAGGACCCCGTCATCAGGAAGAGCCTCTGCGCGGTCATGGCGGGCTCCCTGGCCCCCCTGCTGAGCGCCAGCATTAACGGCGCATGGAAACGGGTGCTACAACAATTCGGGCATCAGGAAGCATTGGTGGAGGATGCCATCAGTATGGGGATTCTGGAGATACAGGGCGACGCGGCCAGCCGCGTCAATATCGAAGGCGAGCACACATGCGCGCGCGAAAACGAAGACGGCACGACGTGTAGGAAACACGTGCAGGAACATGAAAGCGCTCGCGGTGCGCGTCATGCACGCCCGCGAGATGAGGAACCTACATATACATATATATATGTAGATATTCGTTAGTCGTGACCACTAACGCGTGTCCGTGGTGCCGCGCAGTTTTCGCCAGCCGCGCATCATGCCTGCGTCATGTCCGCCACGCAGTGCTCCAACGCAACCCGCGTTCTTGCCATGCGCGAATTACGCACTTTGCTTTTCGTCCCGAAGTGCATCCTGCATGCCGCTGCGGCGTCTGCAGCCGCGAAGATGCCGGACTGCAGCGCCAACTGGGCCGCGACGGCGCGCGCCTGGCCTTGCCGGGCCTGGCTGGCAGCAGACAGGGGAGTTCGAAGTGGAGGGCGCCCAGCGCAGCAAAAGGCGGAACACTATGCACGGCGGCGACGGAGGTGGGCGCAGATGCAGCGCAGCGCCCACGCAAGTACGCAGATTGCAAGGCGAAGAAAGGCAATGTCAAATCAGCTGGTTCCGCCAACGAGGGGGGCAAGGACGACGAGGTGGTGGTCATCGAGAAGACGTGCCTCAACAACGCGCAGATCATGCGGCAACTGTCGGTCAGCTTGTGGGACTTATACTTGATAGAGGGTGATCTGGCACCGTCAGAGCCAGGGGCGCAGGAAGGGCGAGAGCACGCAGTCAAGGTGAAGAACGGCATGATGAACATGGGGTCGCCCCACGCGCACATCGGAGCAGCCTTCTTCGACGAGCTGGCAAACTTGACCGCCGCGCCGCAGCCGTATCAAGTGATCCTGGATCACTCCGCGACGGTGATCGGAGCCGTCCAGCAGGACCTTTCCGGAGACATCTTGCCCTACTTCATGTTGGAGAAACCATGCAACGAACCAGGGCAAGCAACCAAACTGAGGTTGCATGCACATCATGGTCGACGCGCTGGCGATGAGTCCGTGGAGGGGCGAGTGCGAGGACAAGATCAACCATGAGCGCGTGGAGGACGGCAAAGCGCGCATCGAGCTGCAGGCGATCCAGATATACCATCCCTGCGAGGCGACGCACGTGGCCATCGCGAACGGCGCGTGGGTCAGGCGATCGCGGGAGCGCCGCCCCCGACGGCCCTCGAGCGCAGGCCGCAGGACTACTTGTGCGACCGCGTCGCGAACAGGCGACCTGGCAGCAGGCAAGTCAGCAGTAAGCATGAGGCAAGCAACAAACGAGGCAATCAAACAGCAAAATCAATTACCTCGGGTTCACAGGCTCGCTGCATCAGTTAGCGTCCGGGCGGCAGAGCTTCTCCAGAGACTTGGC